TATCATTATGACCTTGCTTCCAGACTCTCCCACAAATTGAAAGCTCTTCTGATGACTGGATCAGCTGAAAATCCTTCTGCGTAATCCGCAATTGCGATTAACAGGCTCCTCAATTTCTCCCCATTATCCTGCACACATCACAAATTTCCTCTCTTATCTCTCTTTCCTTCTTTCTCTTTTTCACAATTAGTATATTGTAGTATATGTAATTATGTAAGCCTTTTTCACTAGATTATCGTTACACAAACCTCTGGTTTCTTAAAAGTAAGATCTCTCGTGTCGAACGGTACTATGTAATCTGGGAGATCAGACCGTAACAGTGCCTGCCATTTAACAAAGATTCATCATCCCTACATTATGGAAACTCAACAGCTGAAACGAACAAGAAAAGGACAAAAACATACCAACTTCTTGCTTAGAATGGCTTGATCTGCGTTAGCTATTAGGGTCTGTTGCAAAGAAAGCAAGAGAGTAAAATTAGGCCTTGCTTATCACAGAAGCATTAGCTTGCCTATGCAACACCATTTCACTCACCTCTTTTATTCGCCCTTCCTTGATCTCACCAATAGACTGCAACAGATTCTCCAAAGTACCTGATAATACAATAAGAGTGATTAACAGGGAACATGGGGCATAAATCAATGCATATAGTATATGAGTCAATGACTTACCAAACCTAGATATCAGTTCCACTGCATGCACATTCCCAATTCCATCAACTCCTGCACATAACACAAACATCATTAGATCACTTTAGCCATTCTCTGGGTGCACTTTTGCTAATTTTTTTGTATTTAGCCAAATTAACGAAAGCAGCTATGAGAGGAACATGTCTAGAAAAGAATATCAGAAACATTTTCGTAAGGGCAGAGGAGGTGAGCGTAACCTGGAATATTATCAGACTTGTCTCCAACAAGGGAGATGAAATCAACAAACTGTGCTGGCTCCAAATTTCCAAACTTTTTAGCAAAATCTTCTATTCCAAAAGAAGCCATCCTGGAGATAAGAAGGGGTAGTGTTGACACCAGTGAGCGAAAAAAGACGCAGCAAAGGTTTCTATATTACGCGATATTCTATAATGAGACAACAGTTCATGTAACATGAATTTCTTACTCTGAACCCCGTGGTGTTAATCGAAGAAGACGCAGCGAAGGAGAAAGAATCTGAAAGAAGTCTTTGTCCGGAGAGACAACTCGAACCTGTAAGGTGGCAACAAACATATGTTCAGTCCACAACTAGGAAAAGGACAAATTGTACAGGCCCTGAGCATTAAATAAGCAGAAACAATTCTTAAGTAGCTGAAAATGTTACTTTGAAACCGTCACCAATGCTTCGGATAGCCAATGTTCCAATAACATCATCAGCTTCTACACCTGGCACCTGTCTTCATAGAATTTCTACACATTAGTGAGTAATCATCACAATAAAAGAATATATGAAAATCATGTGAATGATTTACCTCTATAACCTTTATAGACATTGCCTTGATGGATGCTTTGAGATATTGAAGTCCTTGTACTATGGTATCAGGTGTGGGAGGACGATTACTTTTATAGGCAGGGTATAGAGTATGACGGAAGTTCATGCCTGTAAATTTTAAAACACAGAATAAAGCACATAACAAAATCATCCCCTACACTCTGCACAAAGGAAAGGGAGAAAAGAAAAGCATAATTCACAATTATGAGGAGTCAAACGTTCTCATCACTTAGAAGTAGAGGGTTTTTTTGGATATACATATCTATGTACAAAACAGTAACAGCAAAAGACAACAGCAGACTGAGCAATGCAGCTAACTAGGCCCTATAGGCAATTTGGCAACATAGATATGCCCCATCGGCAACATATATATTTAGAAATCAATTTAGTGCCATCATCAAACTGGACCATCGTGATAGGAAGTGACCTAAGTTCTACTTTATATATCGCAAACGATTGCCATAGAAGCGCTTACGACCCACTCTCTTCACCATAGTTTATGACTGCTAAAAAGCTGCAAGCAAACAACCCAAAGGAGGACAAAGCTAGCATTTCACTTCAAATGTCACCCTTGGCAAGTAAGCCATTATATTTAGAATAACTTCTCTTAGACACACGGCAGGAGATCAGTTCAAACTACAAGTAAAACTTTATAGAAACAATCTACTGAAGGCTTGTGTAGCATATGAAATCCTTAGCGGTGATGTTGCATTTATCACTATCAAGTCAGCATGCTATCTTAACTCCCATGGAAAAAATCCATTTCTTATACTGTCAACTGATCTAACTAATATTATTAATTGTAGTTTGACTAAGGACATCGAGTTTACCTTTTGCAGAACGATAACCGTTTGATGAATTAGATGTACTGCCATAAGGAACTCCTGAAACAAGGCTCTATTTTGTCAAAGAAGAGTTAACTAGAGACATACAGGTCCACAAACCATTCAATCTTCTTGTCCCACATAACCCTGCTTACTAGATGATATATTTGTCAGATTACCAGTTACCACTATCATGCACTAATGTCAGATTACCAGCTACCACTATCATGCATTACTAGAAAACTCTCTCTTGATAGGTTAGTAGAAGATTCCATATCAAGTAACCAATTCTTGATAAATATATCACTATCTAAGGTCTCCATCTGCTTTCTCTTAGGCCAATCAAATAAAAAAAAAATCAGTGGTGGCCAGAAATTGGAATCTGAAAGTTCATACCAACAACTATGAAACAAATGAAGTTGAATACTTCAATTTCTCAAAAAAAAAATCCAATACAGTTTTGAGGCAAGTTGTGTAGACAACATTCAACAAGCTGAACACAATAATTATATATCATATGAAAGACAACATATAATGAATAGTATATCTATAGATGACTTGTGAAGCAGATAGCATCAGCCGATTACGGGCAAGCATTCACACTTTAGTAAAATAATCCGGAAATTCAGAGGGCAGCTATCGTATTACGACTAGATTGATGGCTTATCAACTAATTTTTTCATATCACCTGACACGCAAACTCAAAGTGGTTAACTATAGACACTAAAAGTCCCCAAAAAACCTGAACTATTCCTAAAACACCACAGGAAATAGCTAGACGTCCATGAATTTAACAAATTATGGCAAAAGCAATGACGGGTGTGCTTATATTAAGACTCACCATCATGGTCGAACACCACCTGCATGAACACAGTTAATTAAGGTCAGTAGGGGATATCCAACATCAAGCAGTTAGGAAATGTGAAAAAAGAAACCTANAAGANCTTCATCTGATTATCANAGAGATANAGAAATGAGAGATAAAATGNTAAATGGAATATACCGCNACATGGGATGGGAGAAATTTCAGAACATCAATTAGCTGCAAATGAAAACACAATGCAAAGGAGGTAAGAAGTTGAATCCTAAAGTTAGAACAGGAAACAAGAGATACTTCAGCCTTAAGTTGAGAAACACAATGCCATCCAAAATGCTACAAGAAGCTTTTTTTCAATCATCAAATTTGAGTACAATACACATGAACATATCAGAAACAATAAAGGATGATTTCACTTACAAGAGAAAGAGCTGAAAATATTGTTAAAACCCAGTCTGCGTTTCCATCAGCGTGAGCCAGATGACCATGATTCAACCTTGCTGCAATTTTCCCAATCTTTAGTCAGTAAGTGTGAGACCACAATTCTATGAACAAAAACCACAATTCTATGAACACATGTGTAGCATACCTAAAAGCTTATAGTAAGCCCTGTAAATAATGGATGTCCCATCGATAAGCATCACTCTGCCATTTGAAGAAGCAGCGCTACTTGCAGCTCTTTCTTCTGGCTTGAAGGGATACTTTATCGACTTTGGACCAACATCTTCACTTTTCAAAGCCCATGTATCGCCAGTAGCCGCCTCGTTGGAGTATTCAGAAACAGCTGCTTCCAAATTACAGGTGGAACTGCAATAGTACTGAACTCTACATATGTTGGTATCAATATTGGACTAAAAACATCAAGGAAGTCTATAAAGATTAGAATAACTAAACCACAATATCAATTTTGAGTTTACAGAAGAAACATTCAATTTCGATTCAGAAAAAGCTACACTCGCTACTACATCTTACACTAATCAGTACTAAAATTCCAGATGTAGTCACATAACAAGAGCAAAGAACACAACCTAATAATCCAGAGGCTTGAAAATGACATATATAAGCAAAGCATCACCTTCGTGGTGCGCGAAAGTGAAGGAGAGATGAAAGAGAAGTTCCGATTGCACGAATTTCCGATTCTACCATGAAAACAGAGATTTCTCCACAGCAAACGGGAGTGATGAGACAGATGCATCGTCATAAAGTCACTGAAAAGACTGCATGAAAAAAAAACGCAAACACATTCACAATGGAAAAAAGTAACAGATT